ACGCTCGCGCTCAACGTGAATATCACGAGAGTTTGCACCGATGTAAACCCTCTACACAAAAATGTAGAGGGTTGTTTGAAAAAAATGCCGACCGTAAAGTTTTTTTCTACGTAGAAATTCTCGGTCGATCGGTCGGGTTACCGGAAACACACTACTTTTTTTTCTACGCCTAATGAGACCAGTGTTACTTGTGTACAACTCCTGTAAATGGTTAGAGGACAGTCAAACCTCGGTTTTCGAACGTCTCTGTTCTCGACTAAAAATTCCGAAATTTTTTTATGCCTCAAATTATGACCGAAAATCTGTTCTCGACCAAACTGAGCACACTTGAATGCACCACTTGACTCCTCTCACCTTCCTTACACGAGGAAGTGACGCCTCCTCGGGTAGACGAGGAAGTGACGCTTCCTCGTGTAGCGTTCCATTGTGAGCAGATGTGTTCAATAAAGATTTTTTTAAAAAAGAGCGTGGTTTCGGTTTTCGAACAAATCGGTTTTCGAACAGCCTTCTGGAACGGATTATGGTCGAACACCGAGGTATGATTGTACATAATGGTCGTCAAATATGGGAATTTGACTGACTAGTTTGGTCGATGTTTGGAGGGCCATAATCATCCGATTAATCAGTCGGGCCCTAATTCAAATGTTAACCGTAAGATCATTCTAGCCATGTTGCTAACCAAAACAGCTACACAAAACCACTTATTAAACAATCGTGTTGTAGGTGAAGTGAGGCCTCACCAATCATTGTAATGAAGTTACCTACAGAGTTTGAAAACAATTATTTGACGTCATGAAGAGTTGACGTCTTGTTCGATGGGCAGCATTCAACAGGCTTGGGCATGTTATTTGCTCCACACTGACACTTTTCATATAATAGCTGTTCCATTATGCCTTGGCTGTTATACCAATGTGACTGTTGTTGTATTTGTACTGTTGAAGTTTACATACACTGCATAATAAGGCTGAACAATGTATTGTTTTTGATCGTCTCCACTGGAAAAAATGGAACTAGGATGCTTCTTAGGTTTCATGCTACTGGGATTCTCTTTTTCTATCTGTGTTAGACTTGGGTATCTCCGAGTTTGGAAGTCTACCGAGAATTTTAAAATCTTGACTTGTGAACCAGACTTTAAACCGTCATCATGCATGAGTTCACAAAACTTCGAGTATCTCCACGAACAGACCCAAGCGAGGCACAAGTCACTGTCCTGGCTGTTCAGTACAATGTAGCTTCATCAACATGTTGCTAGGGCTGGGCAATAAAATGTAAAATGGATCCATCCATCTATTATCTGAATCTCTCATCGTCACGAGGGTCATGGTGCGTTTGAGCCTATCCCACCTGTCTTCGGGCAGCAGACAGGGAACACCCTGAACTGGTTGCCAGCTAACGCAGGGCAGACAGACGAACAACCATTCACACTCACAACCACACCTAGAGACGATCTACAATGTTCAATCAACCTACATTTCATGTCTTTGGAATGCGGCACGAGACCGATAGAAAAGTCTCGCTGGCACGTGCTTACCAGTAAATCACTGTAGCCGCCGGCTAAAATTTATATCACGTATATATTATTGAGTGACGACGACGATGATTTTTCTGAATGGGTTTTACAAAGCAAAACTGGGAACAAATTCCGAAATTTTTTTATGCCTCAAATTATGACCGAAAATCTGTTCTCGACCAAATCGGTTTTCGACTAAAAATTCCGAAATGTTTTTATGCCTCAAATTATGACCGAAAATCTGTTCTCGACCAAACTGAGCACACTTGAATGCACCACTTGACTCCTCTCGCCTTCCTTACACGAGGAAGTGACGCCTCCTCGGGTAGACGAGGAAGTGACGCTTCCTCGTGTAGCGTTCCATTGTGAGCAGATGTGTTCAATAAAGATTTTTTTAAAAAAGAGCGTGGTTTCGGTTTTCGAACAAATCGGTTTTCGAACAGCCTTCTGGAACGGATTATGGTCGAACACCGAGGTATGACTGTAAT